AGACTGGTTGAGGCCGCCTGCCACCCCCAATCAGCTGGAACTGCACGTGCTAATCCTGGGCTCTCCACAGGACCACGGCAGGCAATGCCTCATGCAGCCCCAGCTGAATCTTTGCCTGAAGACTGGGTGAGGCCGCCTGCCACCCCCAATCAGCTAGAGCTGTACACGCTGATCCTGGGCTCTCAGCAGGACCCAGGTAATGTGCAGTTCCAGCTGACTTCCCCACAAGCCTGTGCGGCACTGCTGCCGCTTCACCTCATTCACTTCTACACTCTTTTTTTACAGTGCTGTTCAACCCGTCGTATGCGTACCACCTGCCAGGTGCCAACGTACCACTAGTGGGTATGCGTACCACCGGTTGAAAAGCCCTGTCATGGACCACAGTTCCCATAATCCTGTGGCTATGCTGGCTAGAAATGCAATGCCTTATTTTCTCTGCAGTCTGTGCCTAGGAGGCAGTAGGTCTGTGGGATTTAGATGTATTTAAACATGTTTCTTCTGCCTAATTTATTAAATCAACATCTAATTCGAAATTAAATGTTTCTGAGAAATCCAGGGTGGTTTACAAAAAAACTCTCAAAGACAGCTATTGTAAAGCATCAACAGCACTGCTTAAAACAATATTAAAAGTGTGTACTTTATGAAAGAAAAATATTAGTAGTAATTTACTTAGTGCTGTTTGACCATAAAATGTGGTGTTGTTCTACATATGCCTGGCTGAACAGTGTTTGGAGTTGCCTCTAAATGGGTGAGGGATGCACTGTTCATATTTTCCTTGGGAGAAAGTTCTATAATGGGGGTGCTGTCTCTGAGAAGGCTCTGCTCATGGCCACTGTTCTATAAACCAAACCAGGGGGACCATCTGGTCTAAAGGGATGGTAAACATAGATGATTAGGGGGCTGGAGGCTAAAACATATGACAAATGTTTGTGGATATGTCTGGCTTAGAGAAAAGGATTAGGGGTGGTGACATGATAGCAGTGTTCCAATATTTGATGGGCTGCCATAGAGAAGAAGAGGTTAACCTATTTTCCAAAGCATCAGAAGGCAATAATAGATGGAAACTAATCAAGAAGAAAACCAGCCTAGAACTAAGGAAACTTGTGAAAACAACTAACCAGTGAAAAGGCTTGCCTTCAGAAGTTGTGGATGCTCCGTCACTGGAGGCTTTTAAGTAGAGATTGGATATTCCATTGTCTGGAATGGTATAGGTCCCCTGCTTGAGCAGGGGCTTGGACTAAAGACCTCAAAGGTCTCTTCCAACTCTTTTTTTTTTTTAGAGAGATGGTGCCAACCTCTCCCCCTCCATCCCTTCCTGGATACAGGGAGGGAAGGAGGGGAGGGAAACAGGAAGAAAGAAAGGGAAGGAAAGAAGGAAGGAGATGGGAATGAAAAAGAGGGAGGGAGGAAGGAAGGGAGGAAGGAAGGAAGGAAGGAGGGAGATTGGAATAAGAGGGAGGGAGGGTGTGAGGGAAGTCCTGCCTTAGTACTTGGCCACTAGTAGCCCTGTTGCCCTTTCGCCATCTCCTGGTGGTCTCCCATCCTATTGCTGAGGATGCTTTGGTTGCAAAGCCAGGTCTCCTTGCATGGAGAGGGAGTGGGCCTCCCTCTGACCTACGCACTTTACCCTTCTGCAGCCATCATGAGCAACCTGGCCAAGGAGAGCGAGCAGAGAAGCAGTACCTGTGAGGAGGAGATAAATGCAGATGGGCACCCCCTCGGGGAAGTGCGGCTAGGGTAGGCAGGGCTGTGGAGTCCTGGTGCCGTGGGAGCTCAAGGGCCGGGCTGGGCGCTTGACCTCCGCTGCCCAGGCCTCCAGGCAGTCTGTGCCATCGTCCAGGGGCCCCCTGCATGGCCTGAGGCTCAGTGAGGCTCCTCCAGTGGACCATGCCCCGGCGTTTGCCCTGGTCCCACCCCCCTCCGCTGGAGACCCTCAATTCTGCCCAGGCCCATACAAGCACCCCTGATGCGAGTTATATCGATCTGGCCATGCCCACCCAGTAGGCCACACCCACCCAGTGGGCCACGCCCATCTGGCACCCGGCGATAAGTGGGGTTTGGGTTGCAGTTTGGGCACTCGGTCTCTAAAAGGTTCGCCATCACTGCTCTAGGTCTTATTCAATGTGATGTACTGTATATGTAAATAAAAATATATGATTGCAGAAAACAGCTAAATTCATGATTATATATTTGACGTGTCCAGTCAGTATTTTTACAATTAGTCCATGGCTGTATGTGTATGGTCCTCCACTGCTAAGTTTCACACCTGAATAAAAGCTTCTAGGTTGGCCTTATGACTCATAAGATTTTTTGGACTCAGATCTGTTAAAATTCTGAAGTGTTTTCTAAATATAGGTTTTTCAAGTTCCTCAATAGGTTAAAACCAGCTGTAGCTACAAACCATTTACATCTCTAGAACAGCTTCACAAAATTTAAGCATATATAAAGTCTGCTCTCAATCCAGCAGCCACCTCCAGCTTGGAATTTTCCCATTTGGTCCCAGGCCAACAGGTCTTCAGGCTCCTGATGAAGCACAGGAAGATGGGTGCAGATCTTATCCTAGAGGGTAGGATGTTCCAAAGGGTGGGTGCTGTGGCAAAGGAGGCTCTTTTGGATCCCAATAGTCAGAGTTCTTTAACGATGGGACCTTCTCTGCTGACGGAGTAGGACGAACTTGTCCTAGTGGGATATGGTTCATCAGATAGCCTGGACCTATGGCATTAACCAATACCATGAACTGCGCTCGGAAGCAGACTGGTAGCCAGTGACATTCGTGGAGCTGAAGTATAATACAGGGTTATCTGAGAGGCCCTAACGTCTGCTCTCGCAACTGCACTGTGCACCAACTGAAGCTTCCAAATGGAAAGGGTAGTCCTATGTAGAGTGCATTGCAATAGTCCAGATGAGAGATTAGGGCTTGAGTAACTGAATGCAGGGAGTCATGATCCAGGAAAAGTCGCAGCTGATGCACAAATCTGGATGATGGAATAGCTCCCCAAGTCACACTCACCATCTGTTCTTTGAGAAGGAGACTTTAGTCCAGAATCCCTAAATTGCAAACTGGGTCTGAATGGTGTAATGCAATCCCATTTGGAACTAAGGATGATAAAAGAGATTGAGGCTCCCTGCAGCCAAAGCCACTCAGCCTTGCTAGGGTTGTCGTAGCTCATTGTTCCTCACCCAGGCCCTGTGGCCTCCAGGCATTATGACTGGACAGAGATAATATTACCTGGGTCTCTAAGTGTAGTGATATAGAGCTATCCTCAGCATGATGATATCTTAACCCATGGTAACGGATGATCTCATCCAACCACTTCATGTAGTTGGGACCGACCTTGAAGAAAGGAGTCCAGCCTCAATTCACATAGCTGACTCAAAGGGATACTATGGTTGATGGTATCCCTGAGAGGTCAAGAGTGAGAATGGTTGCATTACCCCTATCCCGCCAGAGATTGCCCTGAGTGTGATCAAGACTCTGTCCCATAGCCAGATCTGAATCCTGAGTGAAAGGGGTCCAGAAAATCTGTTTCATTCAGGACTCCTGGAGCTACCAAGCAACCACCTTTTCCAAACCTTCGTCAAAAAGGGAAAAAGGAAGATTGGATGAAAGTTGTAATGGTTTTTTAAGGAGAGGACAAAGCAGGGATTACTTGCAGTGAGGAATTTATCACTGCATAAACCCACCTGCTAGTCACCATCTTGATGGCTTTCCCCAGCCAAGAGGGATAAGGGTCTAATTGAGAGGTGGCTTGTCCACTTCCCTAGATCCAGCAGGGCCAAACTGTTCCTAAATTACTGGACAAGATATCTCCCTACAGATCTCATCAGGATTGGCCCCACACAAGGGTTCTAACTGGGAATGAGTCCAAGCAAATCTTATCCAAGGTATTCAACAAATTCTTCTGCACAGCCCTGAAGACAATCATCCAAGTCCGCTGGCCAGCAGGGATTGGATGATCCAGAACAGAGTCGATGGGTGACACACTGTGGATGCAATAAGAGCAGAAAAATTGCATTCTTTCACCATTTTAGTCATGAGATAGGCCTTTACAGCGGTTCTAAGATGTGTCCAGTCAGAGTCACCCTTCATTTTCCTCCAACGGCACCCTGGACATCTCTTAATTCATTTCAGAATCCTCAATTTCTCTGTGGAATCACTGGGAATGATGGGAGAAGGGTTGCGAGAGGTTACATAGGCGCAATCCTGTCCAGAGGCTCAGCGTTCACTAACATTTTGGCAGAGCTATGTAATAAATCCTTCAGGATATCCCTCAGTTTCTTCTGGAACCCATTTGGCTCTGAGGCTCCAGGGATGATCACTCTAATGCCTCCCATCTCTCTGAAGGGTGTGGTAAAAAAGGGTCTCAGAGGTATTAGGGCATGATTTGACCATGACAGCGGGATAATGTTACATTCCCTATCAGATCATGTTGACATTTCTTCGATAACAATATTAGATCTGGTATGTGACCACTGTCTGAGTCAGATCTGTGACAATCTGGGATAGTCAGCTGGATACATCTCTGAGAATGGGAATCCCCTCATCCAGTGACAGCCAGGTCTTGGTGAATGAAATAAGGATTTCAGATTGTAAAGTGAGAGCAATAATCACTGTTAGATTGTGTATGTGCTTTGATAGATTCTCTGGTTTTAATCAATATCCATTTGCTTCAGTGATCAGTATAGATTATATAGATTATATATGTAATATATATATATATATATGTGTGTGTGTGTGTGTGTGTGTACCTATGTCTTTTTGGTTCCATTTTGTAGAGCACTCTTATCTGTTGTTAGGTGCCCAGAGTAATATGGGCAGCCACTTTAATAAAAACAAACAAACAAGTTTATACAATCAAGAGACTGCTGTCAAAACTAAATGAAGACTTTGATTAATAGCTACAAATTTAGGTTGGGCATGATGCCATTCATTAGCTGTATTCCTCAGCCATTTACCTTTCTCAAAAAATTGCCTGCAAAATGAAATAATAAAGGACGCATGAAATTGAATATGCTTTAATTGCAAATGCATTTTAAATTCAATTTGAAATAACATACAATCCATCTTTGTATGCAATTACATACCACTTCTGCAAATGATAACTTATTTAGGACAGGTTACTATAAGCTTATGGTATTACTACGTTAACAGCCAATTCCCCTATCCATACAGATTCCAAATGTAGAATTAAATTCTGGATGAATGTTAAAAGACAAAATAAAACCCAGACTCTATAAAAAAAAGTACAAACACTCACACACATAGTCCTGCAAATAGCATGCTTGAGCAACTACAGTATAAAGTACAGTACAGTCTTCTGAATGTATTACTATCCAAACTAGTATTTGTATAAGGGAATCAACCATTCCACTTTGATGTCTGTTTAGTCCAATGTAAACCAAGATGGACGTTTCCTGTTCCTTTCGATAATTCGCTTGCCTTCATCTTCATTTCTGGGTTTTTCTCCTGTATAGAGCACAATACTTTCTATAATGGGAGCCTTATGTGGTCCATTTTCCAATAATCTAATTTGATTTCTTATGGCATAAGTTTCCTGTTTAACTTTTTCATAACAATAGCCACAAAGAACATGCTTCTCTTTCAGGTTGCCACATTCAGGACAAATATCTATGTTTCTCTAAAAGAAAAAAAAGGAATCTTAAAATGCAGCGGTGAGAGAATAATTATAAAAATTCTTAACTTTTTTCATTAACGTAACAATAAAATGGAGTGCAAAATAAGATTAAACAACATATCAAAATAATAAAACCAATGCAACAAGACTAGTACTGTCCAATGCTATGTAGAAATCAAAGTATGTCTGCAAGTTAATATTTTAATTTTTAGTAGGAACAGGCAATATTTGAAGGGCTGGATCTGGATCTCGGACCCTTGATGTGCTACAGGGCTGCAGGTGGCTGTTTGATCAAGAAGTAGAAGTAAATTTATTTTAGCCTGTTTTTTTTTTTTAACTTTTGGGACAGCATATGAAGGGCAGCATGATGCGCCTGAAAGGCAATTTGCTCTATCTCAGCCTTTAAACTTTCCAAGGACAGAACCTCAAGGGTGGGCATAAAATGATTCATTTCCCAGGACTCTCTTGTTCCTACTTAAAAATCAGCCTGAAACGAGGCAGAAAATAGTTGCCATGGTGGTTAGATGGATAGTTGTCTAGCTGGAACAATTTGTTTTCCATGGGGTTAGAAATTAAGGTAAACAAAATAAAAGCAAAACCACACTAAAATACAGCTATTTTGCAACCAATTTTGGTTCTACATTTGCAGCTGGCAGCGACTTCATGCAGCCACAAACTGCCCAGATTTATACGATACATTCACAGCAAACCCATTGAAAGAAATGTTCATTTATATTTCTGAACTTATTTGCCAACTCCTATTGATAGTGAAGAACAAAACATTTAAACAAAGTCCAATTTTCTGCACAGGGAAACTTAACAATTTACCTTTATTTTTAGAAGATGGTTAGAATTCCTTCGTCTGGTGCGATTCACTTCAATTGTTCGCCTTGACTTTGGAGCTGGCATCCAAAGTATGCTGTCTAAAAAGCTGGGGTTTTCAAAATACTCAGTTTTCTCTTCCCCAGGATTGAGTAAAGAATCTGGAGCTTGTACTGCTAAAGCAGGAGCTAAAGAAAAAGATATCAACTCAAATAGTTTCATATCTTAGTCTATTTAAAATAGTTTAAATAGTTTAATGCCTTTTTTAAGGGGATTCATTCTAAACTGACTAGCATTTAGATTTTAAACCGACAACATTTGAAATTAGCAGCACTCTTCAACATCTGATCTGGATCGGTCACCAGGACCACAGGCTTAGTCTTCCGAGCTTTCGGACTCATGCAGGGAACTTCCAACATATTTATTGAACAACTAGCTGTACCCAGCCACGCGGTAAAAGCGTGTGTTGCTTTTACGTCCAACAGATGGCGCTGTTTTTTTAAAAAAGCATGTTTTTACCTGTCACAGGTGTGACATCTACCGGTATATAATATAGGTATATGAAAACACGTGTGTATTCAAATGCAATGTTGTGTCAAAATTTCAAGGCAATCTTTGAAGAACTTTCGGAGATTTAAGATTTTGAACAAACGAAGATTTACATTTTTATTTATATAGAAGATTAAAAATCATTATATTAACATAAGGTCTAATGACTATGATAGTAATTTCAAACAGTTAAGAGCAATTAGGCAGCCCTGAAAACAAGTGAACTTAGTTCTGAATAAATAGGTATACAATGGAATGCCCAGGATCAGAATCCAAAGTGTGTGTGTGTGTGTATTTCATATCATTCAATTTTTAAAAAATGAAAAATCATCTCTCTTGTTCCTCATCTTTTTGCATGTGCCTTCAAGTCAGTTTTTGACTCCTGGTGACAGTCGGGACTGCCTAAGGTCACTCAGCTGGCTTCCTGCCTAAGGTGGGACTAAAACTCACATCCTTCTACAATAAACCGATTCTCATAACATTTTATTGTTTCTCTAATATTTTGTTTCTACATGTTAAGACTATGAACAACGCACGAGGGAGTATATTATAAGAATGCACTACTTTCAGCTTTAATGCCATCCTCCATTTAACTAACAATCGGTTTCTCTTTAAAAACTATAAAGCGAGATTACAAACAAAAAGCAAAGGAAATCATCTCCCTGCATTTTGTCCCTACTATGCTTTTTTGCTTTGGGAAAGAACAGAAAAAGAGCAACAGGCAAGGAAGCAAACAGACAAAAGGAGATCCAAGCACCGAAGCCGAAGCTACTTTGACTAGCAAATTCGCACGGAGTTCATAAGAAAGCAGTTTTCTAAAAAGCTTTCAATTCCCCCCTTGGATTGAGCGACGCAAGCACCTCCAACGAGTAGCTGGAAGATGACCGTGGAAATTTTCCACTGAGTTCTTGAGGGCTATCCTGATGAACAGCACATTACAAACCTTACCCCATGGCCCTGCGTGGCCGCCAAGCTGCCCCCAGCAGTTTCGGAGAAAACGACGGAGTTTGGGGAAAGGGGATGAGAACACCAACACAGCAGCCATATTCCTCGCTTTCCCGGCACCCCTCGCGGCTCCGCCCACAGGTTTCCTACGAAATCCGTGTTGGTAGCCACCGCAAGGAATCCTGGGAAACGGAGTCAAACTACCCACATTGGCATGTGACTGTCACACGTCTTTGAGTAACTACCGTTCTCGTTGTGCGACTTTTGACTTTCAAAGTGCACAAGAGGCTGCCACTGAGAGCACCTGTAGCCCATCTCCCAGATTTATCATAATTCACGGCATTCCTAGAAATTCAGAGCCACGTGCTGCTTTCGGGAATTATCAGGTGAACTTCATTTGTCATAAAGCTGCGGAAATCACGTGCCAGAAAGGTTTCCTTCTTTGCGCACGCGTAAAACTCCCAGCGCACGCAGCCGCAGTAGTCAGAGCCGGCTGTGAGGTCTGTGGCACGAGTTAAAATGGCGGAACGCGGCTACAGCTTTTCTCTCACCACTTTCAGGTAAATTCTTTTCTCGAGAGGGAGAGTTTGAAGCGAACTGTTTGAACGGCCAGAGTGTCCTAGATGGGCTCCATCAGGAATGAGAAAATCAGTTTGCTTGGTTGATTGCTCTTTCCGGAATAATAGAACGGGGGAGATTTTGTCGAGTCAGTGCTGTTGCTGTTCGTTAGTTGTTGAAGTGGCAAGAAGGTACAGTAATGAACTGACTTGATCAGTCTTTAGGGTAAAATCGTCCTTTTTTCTCTGTCAGTCAAGACTGCGTTTGATTTCGGCAGATTGATTATTGGTGTTTGGTAATATATCAAATTAATTAGCGCTGCTACTTAAATAGGGAAAATATAACTGGATTACGATACACTTCAATGTCGCTTTTTTTCTTCCTAAGATATGCAATCAGTGTTATAAAAAGTCTGTGAAAAATTCCTTTGGGTCATTGTTTCTGAGAAAATCCTTATCAGATTCCTCAATGCTTTCAATAATAGTAGAGTTTCTAATATACGGAGATAATCGGAGATGTATTTTGCCTTGAAAATAGCCCAAGTTAAACTGCATAGCAGAGTCAGACATCAGCAGCTGATCACAGGAAATGTTTTATGACATTTTGTATTGTGTCATAAAACGTTACAATAATTTTTATATTGTAATTTTTTTATGAAAATTGCCAAATTTCAATTCTACGGGAGTCATGTGTCCCTGTAAGTAAGCCCATTTGAGTTTTCTTGGTTGAAAAGTGCTTGTCCTGTGATGTCATTTTGCCCAGTTAAAGGTTACAGACACAATAGTTTTTCAGGATATAATTAAGTTAGAAGTTCATTTGTAACTGACAATAACAAGGATTGCACAGTTCATTCGTACATTGCTGCAATGCTACATTACTGATACAGTACTAAAATTGTGAAAGTGACTATACTGAAGTTAGAATAACTTGTCACTATTTTGTGACAATCTTAAAGTGCTTTGCTACACATTTCAGTTTCATATAATTAAAGACTGGATATACTATAATTCTATATGTTTTGTATGCCACTTAATTTCTCAGATGTTTTTTGTATGATAGACTATAATGCTAAAAAGGAATCTACACTTTTAAATATCTATGAAACTGGTCAAAGAATAGTCCTATCTCGTTTTTTTTTAGAAAAATGCTACAAAACTATTCAGGGTTCCTTCTTCAGATTAAGTAAACTTTGATTACAATCCTTCAAAAAAAAAAACCAGGTGATACACAAGATTAAATATGATTTCATTGTGGGACAGCAATTACTATTAATTGCAACTTTTTTTTGTTCCATGTATGTTCTTATTTGTAGTTTTTACTTGTGTGTAGTGTGCACTGTGGATAGCATTTCGTTGTGAGTTACACAATGACAAAGATATTCTATTCTTTGATCTTAGTTTTTGACTAAATTATATTGAGCTTTTATATTACTTTTTGATTTTGGAACTGGCATGTATAAGGCTGTATTAACTTTTCACGTGCGTGAAATTTTAGGGAAAATTGTATTGTTAGATGTTGTGACAGATTCAGTGGAGATTACATTTAATCCAGATTATCTTTCTGAAGATATGTTTATTCAAAACCCTTTAGCATATGTAGGCTTTTGAGCTTTAGTTGCATAGAACCTTATAAAGAATTCTCCAGAAATTAAAAAAAATAATAACATGTTTTATTTAAAGCTTCCACTGTGACGTTTCCTGAACATTACTGTGTGTGAATTTGCTCCAGATTAAATTATACTAAATTCATTAATTTCTTTGGGAAAATTGTCTAACATTTTAGCTCTAGACAAGTATTTTGAGAAAGAAAATTTTAATTTCTGGTACATATTCTAATATGCAATGTGCTCAATATGCTTTTGTTTAAAAAATCAAATTGTCTTTCTTGTTGGAAAATGTTTTCTCCATAAATGTCTCATAAATGTATTATATTTTTTTTTCAGCCCTTCTGGAAAACTTGTTCAAATTGAATATGCTTTGGCAGCTGTTGCAGCAGGAGCTCCATCAGTTGGAATTAAAGGTATTAAATATGCTTATATAATTAATAACATTTACCAACTTTTTCAGCATAAATATTCTCATGTCCTTACTTGAGATATGAAGTAAGAAAAAGTGATAAAAATTTATTGTCTGCTTAGCTTTTACTTGGCCTTGTGAGAACAGATTGCTAAAATAAATGTTTGGCCCAATCAAGCACAATTAAAATTTTGATGATTCATGCATACTATTCAAGTTTCTAACATGAAGCACATTATTCTTTTATGAGAGAGTAGCTGCTATATTTTAGGAGGGCATTATGTCTGTATTATTGCGCAGATATAAAGGGTATTTTCAGAATTTTAAAATATGTATTATTTAAAGCAAGTCAGAAAATGGTTGATTATTTAACTGAACATTTGTTTTTAAATAAACATAAGGAAAGTAAACAGTATTACTTTGTTAATTCAGGATAAATTCTATGGTTTATTTAAAGTATATTCCACATTTCAGTTGGAAAATTACCTAATCTTATATAAGATAAATTACATTTCTTTGTATTAAATATTTTATTTTTATAAAATGAACAGATTTATAATCTGATAAAGCATAATTCAAAACAAGGATAGTGTAGTGTTTAGACACTATGATACAGGAATTGTAAGATATATTTATTAAAGAAAGAAAGAATTGTAAAGACATAGAAGCAGCAACTACAACACACATGAAAATTTGATGAGTCATTTTACACTGAGCCTTATTAAAGGGATCAGACACTGCAGTTTGACTGGGGGTGGGGGGGAAGATGAAACAATATTTATGATTGCCATTTTTTTCTTTTGATATAATCTACTGAAATGGCAGTTGAATGGTTATAGAAAACACCTGATAAAATGTCTACAGTATGTTACATAAGAAAATTAATTGATCAGTTTATTGATTTATGTAGTGAATATTTGAAATGTTGCAGGGGAAGCAGGAGGAAGATTTTCTAATAGCATTAATTTAGTGCATTCTTTTTTTATGTAGCTGCAAATGGTGTGGTACTAGCAACAGAGAAAAAGCAGAAATCTATATTGTATGATGAACGGAGTGTACACAAAGTGGAACCTATTACTAAACACATAGGCTTGGTATATAGTGGCATGGGCCCTGATTACAGGTAAATAAGAAAAAAATATTAAATAGAAATATTACTATTGGTTTTTGAGCAGATTTTGAGATAGGTGAAATCAAGTTGATTAATAATTATCTAGAATTCAACAGGTGCTATACACTATATTGTTTAGAAGGCATGTTTGCTAAAAGCTACATCTTAAGCTTTCTCTTCCATAGATACATACATATATTAGCAACCTGGCTTTGTGGCATGATTCTATTCCTGATTCCTCTCTGTGCTTTGCAACAATGAATAAGTTGTTAACTGCCAAGACTGCAATCCCAGATATATTTCTTAATGTGAAAATTCAAACCCTTTGTTAATAACAGCTAGACCTTTTTCTGAAAAATGCATGTCATATAGGTGTGTGTACATACATGTATCAGCATTGTGAAACTGACCAAGGAGCCTAATCCATAAAGCTAATGAATTAGTCAATGTTTTTTTTTCAATACTTCTTGGAGATTTGTGGCCTATCACTTCTTAGAATATTATAAAAATAATTGCTTTCCCATGGAGGATTTGTAAGTATTCATAAATGAACAAGGTGATTACTAGAAGCCAGCATGGGTTTGTTAAAAACAAATCATGCCAAATAAACTTTATATCCTTCTTTGATAAAGTGACTAAATTAGTGGACCAGAAAAATGTGTGGACATAGTATTCTTGGACTTCAGAAAAGTAGTTGACAAAGTAGACCACAGCTTATTTCTTGATAAATAGTATCACTACCAGATGAATTTGCAATTGGCTGACCAACCACACTCAGTGGGTAGTGCTCAATGGGACTACATATATATGGAGAGAAGCATGTGTGGGCTATCTCAAGTTGCTGAGACCTAGAAACTGTGCAGAGAAGAGCAACAAAAATGATAAAAGGTCTGGAGCTAATGTGTTTAGCTTATCAAAGAGAAGGATTAGGCGAGACATGATAACTGTCTTCCAATACTTGGGCTATTGCAGAAAAGAGGGGATTGACTTATTCTCTAAAGCCTTTTGGGCACCAGGGACTGGTTCCATAGAGAAAGGTTTTTCTGTGGACCGGAGAGTGCGGGGTTTTGTGTGCTGCCTGTATCCCACGGATGGGGCTTTGCTTGTTTGTGTGGACTGGTTGCTGGCATGTTACAGCCTGGTACCGGTCCACAGACTGGGGGTTGGGGACCCCTGCTCTAAAGAACCAGAGGGGTTGACAAGAAGCAAAGGGTGGAAGCTTGTTAAAAAGAAATCTAACCTAAAATTAAGGAGCAATTTTCGACAGTGAGAACAATTAATGAATAAAATAGCTTGTCTCCCAAAGTTGGTGCTTCCTCACTAGAGGTTTTCAAAAACAGACTGAACAACTATTTGACTGAAATGGTATAAAATCTATCTTGAGCAGAAGGTTGGATTAGAACAGGCATGTCAAACTTGTGACGTTGCGCGACATATCAGGACTTTCCCCCCCATTGCTGGCAATGGGGTGGGCGCAGTTTCGGCGTGACGCATCCGGCCTGCGGGCTGGCAGTTTGAGATGCCTGGACTAGAAGATCTCTTAGATCCTTTCCAGCACTATGATTCTATGTTCTATTATTTACTGGTGATACTGATAAAGGAGGAATGTACCAAAGACAGGCTAAACACAGTAAAATACTTTTTTACTTTTACTTTCTGTCAGAGTTATTTCTGTGTGATATGGCCCCTTTATTTTACACATTTTTCTCCCTGTAACTTTGGTTTCTCCGCCAACATTAAGTGCATATCAAAACCATGAAAAAGACTTCCATTGTAATTTAATATTTTTTTTTGCTTTTGTGTATGTGTGTTTTACTTTGTTTTGTCAGAGTACTTGTTCACAGAGCACGTAAACTGGCTCAGCAGTACTACTTGGTTTATCATGAGCCTATTCCAACAGCTCAGCTAGTGCAGAGGATCGCTTCTGTGATGCAAGAATACACTCAATCTGGGTATGTTACTTGCTTCTAAATAAAATGCACTCATTTCTTTATTCTTCAAGTTATGGAGGTGGTGATTCATTTTGTCTGGAAAGGTTGGGTACCGCTGTAGTAAAGTACAAAGTTTTCTAATATTGTACACAGACTTAAATTGTTTTTCTGAAAGAAAATACTCTGTTCTTGCTTGCCCTATCTTGATGAGCAGAATCAGCAAAATAGTAACAGACTTAAAATTATTAACTACATAATGTAAATACATAGTGCTTTAAATTATAAACTGATATATTACATATTACATATGATATGATATGTAAAAATAACTGCTTCAGCAGCTTATTTAATGCTGCCCCTGATTATTTCTGATGTCTTCCTTGATAGAGGTGTACGTCCATTTGGAGTGTCGCTATTGATATGTGGATGGAATGAAGGGCGACCATATTTATTCCAGTCTGATCCATCTGTAAGTATTTAAAATTGGACTTCTTCATAGCTTTGTATAAAAACTTGGTCTAGCTATTTGTTTGAAGAACTTAAGAACTTTTTCTGCAGTAAGGTTTAAGGAAAATATATGTATAATTTATGGTTAAGAACTCAGGATAAAATGTTCACAGCTACTAGAACAGCTTGAGCGGTGAGCTTTAAAATCATATGAGGAGACCTAGATCTGTGTAATTAGGTAGCACATTCAATACCTGTCAGTACTATTTGCCTGTTTCAACATTCACCAGCAGAACAACTTTTTGCTATAGTGATTTCCAAATTCTGTCCAAAAAGCTTACTTTTATCTTTGGTTATGAGTTCCTAGATTATAAAATAGCCAGATTTCTTTTTATCTTGTCAAGATTATTTGTAACTTAGGTGATTTAATTGATAATCTGTTATAAAATGTATTTGATTGTCCTGTCGTAGCTCTCCTATTTTTTTTTTTGTTAATCTGTTTGTATATAAAGTAACATAAGGATATTCATGAACAAGCCAAGAATTTTAAGTGTCAAAATTCCCCCTCAAAAATTGGGTTTGGCTTATCTATTGATGGGCTTATCTGTGATTATATTTTTTTAAAGTGCCCATATATGCAGTATGTATTCTTGGATTAATCCATCTGCAGATAAGCTGACCTTCAGTCATAACGAAAAATAAACCAATTGATGAACCATTTGTGAAAAGCAAAACATACAAAAATTTTGAGGGTCAGTTTATCCACAGATGGGCTTATATGTGTCTATATGTGGTACTTTCCATATCTGTAACCATATCTTCAGAACCTTAGTACAGATAATCCTTGACTTTTTAAAATTGAATTTAATTTATTTTTTATTACATTTATTTGACACCCATCTAGTTTTGAAGCGATCCTGGGCGGCTTGCAGCATTAGAAGCATTAAAGATAAATATTTCTAAAGATAAATATTTCTAAAACAATAAAAATGGAAATTACAATGAAAAATAGAATTATAGAAAAAAGATGGGAAGGGATGGAGAAGGATGTGCGGAGGGGAGGTAGATTCCCCTTTTATTCATCAACCACCTCCAGTGTGATGCCACCCTGTTGGAGCCCCAACCCATCTGGCAGAGCCAGGTTGTCAGGCTCCTGCAGAAGGATAGGAGGGAGGGGGAAAATTTTTCCCATGGGGTACAATGTTTCAAAGAGCCGGTGCCATGGCAGAGAAAGTCCTTCTCCTGGACCCTGCCAGCCAGAATTTGTTGACTGAAGGGGCCCACAGCATGCCTCCTTTGCCAGCACAGGTGGGAACTGCCGGTCCCAGTGAGCCGAGATGGTTCCTCAAGTAACCTGGATCCATGCCATGCAGGGCTTTAAAGATAATGATGGTTCAAAAATAATGGGTTGGAAATAGGAACTTTACAGCCTATAAACACTTCTGATCATCGCAAAACATTGCACACCCCAACAGTCACATAATCTGGGTGTCTGAGAACCTGCTCATAGGACTGTTTGCCAAGTAACCCATGTTATGTGATTGCCATTTGCAATCTGCATACTTTGCACAAAATGCCTACCTAAGAATTTCATTTCCCGTGTGGTGGGTGGGGAGAAGGCTCAAGCGGTGGCAGTTTCCACCAGTAGTCAGAATAATCCTGAGATAAAATCCCTTTTCTACACTGTCAGAATGTTTATTACTTTAGCCCATTATTATGTCATTCATCTCGCAGCTATAGAATACCAGGATTTTTCATAAAACGGAGATTTTTTTTATTACAGACTTAAAGCAAATTTGTTGTATTTTGAAAATTCTACTGAAACAAAATCTGAAGAGGTCTTTCTAGGTGCTGTAGAACAAAGCTAGTACATTTGAAGTGCAGGATTTTGTCATTGATAAGATCTAAGTTGACTTCAACCACAATCGAGCCCAAAATTTCTGTTGCTAAGTGAGACAGTTGTTAAGTGACTTTTGCCCCATTTTATGATTTTTCTTGCCGCAATTGTTTAGTGAATTACCGCAGTTGTTAAGTTAGTAACATGGTTGTTAAGTGAATCTGGCTTCCCCATTCACTTTGCTTGTTAGAAGGTTGCAAAAGGTAATCACATGCCCTCAGGACATTACAACCATCATAAATATGAGTCAGTTGCCAAGCATCTGAATTTTGATCATGTGACCATGGGGATGCCACAAAAATCATATGTGTGAAAAAATGTCATAAGTCACTTTTTTTTAGTGGGTTGTAACTTCAAATAGTCCCTAAATGTTGTAAGATGAGAACTACCTGTATTTGGCTGGTAGTATCAGATTCCTCTCATCTCCTTGCAATCCGCTTTTATAACTTCTTTGTATTAATTTTTACAGTTGGGAAATTTCCAAGGAATTTCTACTAAAATAAGATTATAAGTAATGTATATTATACATTATTTTTATACTTTATTTTACTATTGAGAAGATAGCTACAGTATGCATGTTTCTAATTTGCTGTACTTTTTACCTTCCAGGGAGCATACTTTGCATGGAAAGCAACTGCAATGGGGAAAAACTATGTAAATGGAAAGACATTTCTTGAGAAAAGGTAATGCAGAATAGAAATTATTATAGATCTTGTATTCTTATTTGGATTTTCCATTTCTGGACTGTTCTTTTCTGAATCCTTGGAAGATTTATAGTTAAATATTAGTAGTGCTGTAAACTGATACAAAAATGACTTTATCAAAATTCATTTTGATAGTGAATTTGGTCCACCAACAGTCATCATCTTGGTTATTCCATAAGATAGGAATAAGCATCCCTTTTACTTTTTTAAAAAATACAAGAAATTATTAAGTACTGTTATTTAAGACAGGAAGCTATCTTGCTAAAAGGAAAGCCAGGGGTCACATTTTTTATTATATTCTGTTAATATATTTACAATATTTCCTCTACTGAAGTATCTTGAAATAATTTAAAATGCATAATGTAGCTACATAATAATATTTTAAAACAATCTTGAGTAAACCTTTATGTTTGCTTTCTACACAACAGTGTGGTCATTGCTGGTGACAGTAAGACATCACTAGAGTAGGCAAAGCAATTATTTGATTTGTTTTTTTAGTCAATTTTTAGAAGGAATAGAAGGGATGATCAGCAGCAAAATGATATCTCAGTACCATTTTGATCCCCGCCCAGCCCCAGGGAAAAAAACTGCAAGGCTTAAAGTATCCATTCTTCAATCCAGTAATTCATACACAAAGAAAAAAAAAGGAAGGGATGTGGAGCCTGCCGTTTTGCAGAAACTGAGGTCTATAAATGGGAAGTTAGAAATATGCAACAGTTTTTTTTACCATGCTGTAACAAAGTGCGAGTCTAGCATTCTCCTACTTTACAAAGCCCGCAAAGTATTTTCAAAAATAACAATAGTTATAGCAGGCCTTCACTTTGGCAGTTGGTCCAGAACCAGAGATATACAGTATAGTGAGGTAATCATAGGAAAATGTAGCAACTTTATATGATTATTTTCTAGTAAATGGATATTTTGTAATATTCTAATTTTGTTATTTTGTGACATTTTATGGATTAACAGGCTCTTCCAGTTCAGTTAGTTATTTTTTTCCTGGCAGTCCTTGGTATAGTTTTAAATTTTCAAATTTGTTTATTGGCACAAAAATGGTTTCTTGACCATGAAGTAATTTAGAAAAAACAATACCTGAATTTATGGGAGTATTTTGCATGTGCAATTTTAGCTTTATAGTTATAACATTGGAGGGATATTTTAAATTTCTTAGAAAAGGTCTGTTCTTTTGCAGATACAATGAAGACTTAGAGCTTGAAGATGCTATCCATACTGCTATCTTGACATTAAAGGTGAAAAATATTCATTTTAAATTTGATAAAACTTTCAAAGTTGATATTTTAATTTATTTAACAAAATTGTGTATCTTTTCATTAATAGGAAAGTTTTGAAGGACAGATGACTGAAGATAACATAGAAGTTGGCATCTGTAATGAGGCAGGATTTAGAAGACTCACTCCAACTGAGGTTAAGGATTATCTGGCTGCAATCGCCTAATCTGGATTGATGAGAACATACAACTGCTCTCATTTTTTAACTTCATTTATATTAGTGGCTTCTGATTTTAATTTCTTTGTTAATCCTGTAGATTTTTTTTTTGAAGGAATATGGATTCATATGCCACTGAAATGTGAAACTAATTAAAATATTAAACAATGTACAAGAATATTTACACAATCTAAAAAAATATAAAGATTGATATAACTTCTGATTAAATTTCCAAAATACTTCATTATACTAACTTCAGGTGTTCCTACTAATTTCAGGTGTTGCTAAGATTGTTTCAAAAGTCAGATGTTGAGTCCATGAAGCTGTTCAGATAACTGAAATGGTTAAAGGTTCTGTAAAGTTTTAGAAAGATAGGGCTGCTTGAGTAGAACTAGTTTGCAGGTTTTCATAGCAGAAATTATATTGGGAAAAGAATTTGTAAAGAAGAGCCAATGACTTACGTATATACTGAAGGATTTGGGAAAGATATTTTTTTTTATGTAAACCATTAGGGACAAGAAATCTGCTAAGCATTTAGAGAACTTTCTATGATACACTGAGCATCCTAGGTTTACTTTGGTGATAGTTCTTCCATGTTTCAGGTGGATTCTTTACTTTGAAGTGGCCAGAGACTATATTTGCAACCTTCTGAATGCAGATCAGAAGGCTGTTTAAGTATTGCTCTTTATTTTAATTTGGAAAACTGTGGTGAGCATTCTGAGCAGGGCAGCAGTGGAGTATGTAAAATTATTTTACAGTGGGGATGGAAAAAATAGATATTCTTAGACATGGAGCATCCTTTTTAACTAGTTGATTCATCCTTTTTTAATAAATACTTTGTTTACTTATATTTATATTACACAGATGCTCTCAGAACTGCATGTGTCATCCTGAGTTGCACATATTGTGCTTAGTTGTACATTTAATTTAAAAAATCTCAAAAGTATCAAAGTGGGCTCTAAACATACTGTATGCTACTTAGTTCATTCTCCCTCCCTAATCTACATATCCCTAAATAAAAAATTACAAGAAGTTAGATGATGAACTATTTCACAGTGTTAGTATTCTTCCCACCTGCCTAGAGATAGCAGTATTAGTTTACTTTGCAGAAATGGCATGACTAAAATCTCCTAACTGTGCTGCTTTTTGCAGCATATGTATAACAGTTGGGTTTTCACTGTAATATACAAATACACACACACACATTAGTTTTTACATAATATTTTAAAAATTAAATATTTTTATTTTATTTATATATTTAGTGATATATAAAGAGTTTCATTTATGAATCATTCTGTATACAAAGTAGCTAGGTTTGGGTGGTCCTTCCATACATGTCAGTTATTTTGTCCATTTACAAAAATAAAAGAAATCTATATTTCAGACAAAGTATTTGTGAAGGAATGGTGAAAAACAAAGGAAGCTGGGATGGGAAGGGAATGCTCTGCAGGATTTGAGTAGGTGGCAAGTTGAGGGGATATAGTAGTACGCTGACACATTGATGGCCATATCTGAAGACAGAAAAATACTGGGAAAGTTGGTGGGCTCCAGGATATATTGCATGCGAGGGTTGGGAAGCTACTGGGAAGATGGGGAGACTGGTGGAATGTGCTGTTCTGAGAGCTAGAAAAGAGCAGTTGAGCTGGAAAAGCTTTACTTGTCCTGTCTGGATTGCATTTTTTATGAATCCCAGAATAATCCAAACATCTAGGTTTGAGTTTTCTCACACTGTAGTTGACCTAAAATGGATTGTTAGTATTTAGGAATGCTGTTTATATAGATTTGAATATATTCATTTTGCATGCACCTCTAATTAATAGACACTTTTTTTAGACTCAATAGTCCATTTTTAAACCATGTTTACAGATAAAAAGATAAAAATTACTGTTCAATCACAGCTCCAGCAAAAGTCTGGATTTCTAATATTTTTCACATCTAACTAGAAACTGACATATAATATTTCTCCAGTGTATATGTCAATTATAGTCTGGTTTCTTTATATATTGCTTTAGCACTAAGAAGCAGAAGGAGCCTTTAGAAAAACTTGTGGGCTGCATGTATTGTAGCTTCTAGAAAGGCTAGAGACTAGCTGTGTTTTAAAGGGAAGGTTAAGAATGAATATCATGATTGATGTAAGGTCTCGCCTCAGCTATTCCCTCAAGAAAGTTGAACTCTTGAAGCAAACAACATTTCAAAAGGACCTTTTATTGAGAGATAGCGTTTGTAGAGAAAACAGGTAGGATCTAAAGTTCCCATTAGAACACGTTAGGTCAGTGGTGGTGAACCTATGGCACATGTGCCAGAGGCGGCACTCAGAGCCCTCTTTGTGGGCACACGTGCCATGCCCCAGAGTGCACCGGTTGAGGGGCCAGCAGGCTGTGGCTGCTGACGGTTACCGTCAGCCCCCATGTGCTTGCTGGCCTCTGCGGGGGCTGATGGTGTCAGGCAGCAGCTGCCCCGGCCCCTGCCTTGCTTTGCCCTGTGGCAATGGTACCCCCACCCTGCCTTGCCTCGTCTCACAGGACGAGCCTCTTGCCCACTGTCCCACCTGCCAGAGACCCCCTGGATTTCCCCCAACCCTTCCCGGCCCCCACAGGCATCCCTCCCCACGAGCAACATTGAGGTGACCACGCCCACTTTGGCCACACCCACCCAGTTTGCCATGACCACCACTGCCACGCCCACCCATTGGGCCATGTCCCACCCGGCACTCGGCGATAAATAAGTGGGTTTGGGGTTGCAGTTTGGGCACTCAGTCTCTAAAAGGTTCACCATCACTGCATTAAGTTAAACCCCATTGTTCAGATCCCTCCCAACTGCCCAGTCCACAGATAACCAATTCAGAGGTGTGAAGGTGTTGTGAGAACTCCCAGCCAAGGTGGTGATAAGTTGTTCTCAGGTGCCATGACCATGGTTCTCCGGAGATGAGAAAGCAGATGGCCCCAGACTCATCCCTCCCATTTCCCAAGAAGATACATCAAAGCAAAGATGAACAAAGTAAAATGGATACATCACAGAGAGCCCCAAGATTCCCCCTTCCCACTAGAATGGCAGCATCCCGATAAGGATCTATGGGCACCTGATAGGAAAATCCTGGTGAACATCTATGAATATGATAACATCTGATGTGTTATGCTCTGAAATATCACTTTTTCCTCTGATTTTAGTATGCTGCCAACAACCCAAATATAAACTATTTAAAAATTTTTATGGGATGTAATCCCACAGAAATTGGTTACAATTTGTCTAGAAAATGATAAACACTGCTTTAAAACTTTTACCATTCCCACTTTATATATTTTTTTCCTTTATTATTTTTAGAGGTAAGGTGACAAACATACCTAATACTTCTTCCTGCTCCTGTTTTTCCACAACAACCCCGTGAGGTGGGCAGGGAGAGAATAACTGGCCCAGAGTCACCCATCTAGCTTTTATGCCCAATGCAGGACTAATATTCATTGTTCCCTGATTTCTAGCCAGATGCTTTAGCTACTATATCAAACTGGCTTTCATACACCATTATGTATATGTGAAAGTTTATTATCTAACATGGAAGAAAGTAATAAGCTGTTATTGGACTTTTACGCTGTGATAAAATTCCTGCTTTAGATCTGATAAAATTGTTAAACAATTTAAACAGAGGGGAGAAAAGCATTCCAGATGTGAAATTACAGACCCACTGAAACATTTTGGATGAACTACATTCCTACAGAAGAAAACTCAAAAAAGAAATTTAAAACAAGCTAATTGCCTTCAGAAATCGGGGGGCACTCCATCATTGGAGGTTTTTAAAAAGAGACTAGACAGTCACCTTTTTGAAATGGTACAGGCTCTCCTGCTTGAGCAGGGGGCTGGACTAGAAGACCTCCAAGGTCCCTTCCAACTTATTCTATTCTATTCTATTCCATTCCATTCCATTCTTTATAAAACTGCAGAGATGTGGATGAATTTCGGGGCGACATCTCTCATGGTCCAGGATTGATATGGCGTGGTTGTCAACAGACTTAAATTCGGAGGTGGAAGATGTTATAATTGATACAAATTCGTGGGCTGACCACAACCCAATTAGAATCAAATGGAGAGGGCAAAAGAAAACAAGGAGGTGGACTCTAAAAAGAGCAATTTTAAACCACAAAGAATTTAAATTAAAATTGGAAGATCCAATGGGTGTATTCTTTCAGATGAATAAAAAGGAAGATACAAATTCCCAAAATTTATGGGACACAGCCAAAGCCTACATGAGACGTGTTGCAATTGCCTATATGGCTAGGGAAAATAAAACTAAAATACAGCGACAAAGAAATCTTGAAGAAGAATTTAGCAGGGTAGAGGAAAATCTACAAAATGAACCACAGAGGCGTGACCTGAAACAGCAAATAGATTTAATTAAACATAAGATAAATATTGAAAAGGAAGAACTGGGGCAACAAATAAAATATACTAAACAATTTTTTTTTGAAAATGCCAATAAACCAGGCAGATGATTGGCTTACAGGATAAAGAAACATAATGATAAAAAGAGGATTAGCAAACTATACAATGAAAAAGGAGAGTTGGTATACCAGAATGAAGGGGAAAAAATGGTGGCCTGTGAGTTTTACAAGAAATTATACAAAGATGTAGAACGGAAAAATAAGGATGATATTCTAAAATATTTGCAATTAGCTGATCTACCAAAAGTTCCAGAGGAGATTAAAAATACATTAAACAAAGAGATAACACCCTTAGAACTATCTGAGGCAATTAAGAAACAAAAAAACAATAAAGCCCCAGGTCCGGATGGTTTACCAACAGAAATATACAAAATTATGCAAGAATCTCTAAGTCCAATATTAATAGATTTATTCAACGAGGTTCTGAAGAATGTGAAAATTCCGATCTCATGGGAAGAAGCAACTATCTCGTTGATCCCCAAGGACAATTCAGATTTGGCGTTCATTAAAAACTATAGGCCCATTTTATTATTAAATTCGGACTATAAAATTTTCATGGCCATAATGGCTAAACGTCTTGAAAGATTCTTAGTAAAATTTATACATACGGATCAAAATGGTTTTCTACCCAAAAGATATATAAGAAACAATGTTAGGATCATATTGGACGTATTGGAATATTATGAAGTCCACAATGAAAAACAAATGGCACTAATCTTTCTCGATGCACAAAAGGCATTCGATAATGTGAAATGGGATTTTATGCTTAACCAATTGGAATACATGGATTTTGGGGAGAATTTCATAAACATGTTCAAAGCGATTTACTCCAAACAGGTAGCTAAAGTGGTAATCATCGGAGAAACAACTAAAAGCTTTCAAATCCAAAAAGGTACTAGACAAGGTTGCCCGCTATCTCCACTATTGTTCATATTATCCCTGGAGGTACTAAATAGAATGATTCGGAAAGATGAGTATATTAAAGGTTTAGAGATTAAGAGAGAAGTCTTCAAACTGCAAGCCTTTGCTGACGATCTTGTTTTCATACTCGAAGAGCCCTTACAATCAGGGACAAAGCTAATGGAAGTACTGGGTGAATATGGTGAAATGGCAGGCCTAAAGATAAATAAGGAAAAAACCAAAATGCTCGTGAAGAATATGATTAGAACACAGAAAAATGAATTAACCGATAGATTAGGCATTCAGACAACAAAGAAAATAAGATACTTAGGGATACACTTAACAATGTAACAATTAAAAGAGATAATTATGATAAATTAATGGAATAAATTAAAACTGATTTGGATACGTGGACAAATCTCCAGCTCTCTTTCATGGGCAGAATTGCTGTAATTAAAATGAATGTACTACCTAAAATATTATTTCTATTTCAATGCATACCAATTAGTTTAAAAAAGGAATTCTTTTGAAATTTTAATCAATCCATACTTAAATTCATCTGGCAAGGGAAAAAATCCAGGATTAAATTAAAATTATTACAGGATGCCAAGGAAAGGGGGGGTCTTGGCCTCCCCGACCTGGAAAAATATTACCAATCTACAATTTTACTATAGGTGAGGGATTGGATCCGACTGGAAAATCGGAGATTATTAAATTTGGAAGGTCATGACATGCAGACTGGATGGCATACCATGTTATGGGATGAGAAACATAAAGTTCACCAGTACTTCCGGAGGCATTACGTCAGACGGGCGTTAATAGATGTATGGACTAAAATTAGGCAACAGAATTATAGGCAAGTTCCCAACTGGATTTCAACACTAGAAATGTACATTCACCCAAGGTTCATTCAGTTGGGGAAAGTAATAACCTATAAAAACATACTAGATGAGAGAGGAGAATTAAAATCGAGGAGAAATCTTCAAGATGCAGGGATAGAATTAGAATGGTGGGCATACCTCCAACTACAAGCAAGATATAGGAAAGACAAAAAAGAGTGGGGTATAAAAATAGAATTGACAGAACTAGATAAAATTTTATTAGGCCCCGAGGATAAAATGATTAAATTTTTTTATCATTTTCTATTAAACCAGGCAATGTATGAAGAACAGGTCAAGGGGACTATGTTAATTTGGAGTAGGGATTTTGGTTTCAATATCGACCTGCATATCTGGCAAGAACTATGGGAAAGAAATAGAAAAATCACTCTAGCTACCTCGTATAAGGAGAATCTTTACAAGATGTTCTATAGATGGCATTTCCCAGCCGTAAGGTTAGCCAAAATGGGTTCAAACATTTCATCGTTATGCTGGAAATGTAAATCAGCAATAGGATCATATTACCATATGTGGTGGGAATGCCCAAAGGCCTATCAGTATTGGAATAGGATACAAAGTTGGTTGAGAGATATGTTAATATTGGACTTAGAGTTAAAACCGGAACTCTTCTTGCTGGGAATAACTACAAAAAAATACAATAAGGGAACAATCTATTTGCTGTTACACATCTTGACTGCAGCTAGGCTTGCATTTGCGCAGAAATGGAAGAGCAAAGAAATCTCCACAGAGGAAGAGCCACTGTATAAAATATTAGCATGTGCGGAAATGGACAGGCTTACAATGGTTTTGAAAGACAAATGTGGATCAGTTTACTTCGAAACCTGGGAAAAATTTTACCGCTGGAGAGATTCGAGGAGGACGGTTGGGATTAAAGATTAGCGTTAAGATAGAAATATATGTCATTTTAGGATAAGTATTGTATATAAAACTTAGATGTATATTTAGAGATGAAGAACCGATTGTAAAATGTGGAATAATTTGATAAGAACATATATACTGGAATGTCACGTTACATCCAATGTTTTTTTAATTGTATTATAAATAAAATTTTGAATAAAAAAAAAGAAGAAAACTCAAAAAAGAAATTTAAAACAAGCTAATTGCCTTCAGAAATCGGGGGGCGTTCCATCATTGGAGGTTTTTAAGAAGAGACTAGACAGTCACCTTTTTGAAATGGTACAGGTTCTTCTGCTTGAGCAGGGGGCTGGACTAGAAGACCTCCAAGGTCCCTTCCAACTTCTATTCTATTCTATTCTATTCTATTCCATTCTTTATAAAACTGCAGAGGTGTGGATGAATCTCTGAGATGCTCACTAAAGAAGCAGGATGAAGAAAAATATAATTCACTATTAAAAATGATTACTTCAAGAGATTGTATATTATTAGATGGAAGATGCTGTTAATGAAAAATTGGAGTCAAGAAAAGAGATGGTTAAAAGAATGAAAATAATAACCAAAAAATGAAAATGGAGCATCTGTACTCACTGCTAAACAATAGTCTATTTTATTGAATTGGGTAGCATTGAATCACTCGAGAAAAGCTGTCGGTGAGATCACATGTTCATTCATGTACTATATTTATAGCAGTTAATACAAGTGCATAATTGAGAGACTGATTAACTTAGGAATCCCGACCGATTGCTTTCCATTCGCAGTTATCCCTATAGATTTGTATTCTAAATCCAGAGTCTATCCCAGCAAAAAGCAACATAATGATTAAAGCCGAGGATGTGACTATAATCACCATAGCAAAATGGAGGCTCCCATCTTAACGATCTTTCAGTCTTAAGCCCCGCATATGGCGGCTTCCTATCTAAACCGGAAGCGTCGCTGGCTGGCAAACGTCGGTCGGAATGATTCGCAGCTTTTTCTTTTTCTTCGTGGGATAAAGAGGAAATGGACGAAACTGCAGTCAGGGACTCCCGTCATAAAGGTTCTATTCTGCCTTACTCGTGAGTATTGGTCACCCTTGAAACGTGCACGACGCTATGCGAATGAGGGCTTCAAAGCCCAGACAACAGGAGTCTTACTGTAATTGGGTAAAAGAACGAGAAGACATTTGTGGGATATTTCTTTTCTGCTGATGTTAGAAAGCCAGACTTCCCATCAGGGAAGCCTTGGTCAGAGCACAAATGAGAAATAGCCAAGCATCTTGCAATGATGTGTCAAATTTTTGAGCAATTTACCGCATCACGAAAGCAGGAATTGATGTTTTGAAGTAGCGCTCTGAATTCGCTGAAGCTGGGAGGGGCACCTGCTCTTGCATCAGATAACCGGTGGCGTGCGCCCAATCACCCTTAACATGTAACCCAAAGATCTTTTAAAATCTTGTGAAGTCTTTGGTGGGATGAGTGGATACTGAGTGTTTGGAAAAACACTTTAAAAACACACCGAACTGCACAAAAAGAGCATTAATAAGTTCCAATAAAGGAGAATATTTATAGCTCAGAGTTGACATGAGGAGTTTTTGGTGCTCTCTGAGCTTGGTTGTTTTCTTGCAGACGTTTCCTCATTACCCAAACTAGGTAACCATAAGTGATAATGATATTACCTAGTAATGAAATATTTGCCAGAAAACAACCAAAATCAAAGAGCACCAAGAACTCCATGTACGTTGCTGTTTTAAGTCACATATTCCCACACCATCAGGCTTCCTGGCATTTGAGACTTTAACTTTGCCAAATGATATTCTCAAAGTCAGCTTATGAGTCCTCACTGTTTATATATAAGATCCATCTAAACTTTCTGTCAGATCACAGATAATGCCCATCTGTCCATATTAAATGACCACAGAACAAGATCAGATCTGTTAAAAAAATTATGGCTCTGAAGCACAGATCTCTCTTGATCCTTCTGTGGGATATGGGATGCACCTACAGCAAATTATAGATCTTTCTCTCCCTCCCTCCCTCCCTCCCTCCTTAAAAAGTGTAATTATCACAGAATTGTTGTGCTACCATGGCAGAAGAACTAATTTTTATTCAATTTACTTGAAATCACTCAAAATATAGGGGACAGCTCTTCTATATCCATAAACTATAATTTAGCTTATATAAACTATTCTGAACACAGAATGGAATGGTTGTTTGTGATTCCTGGAATGTTAGCTGCATTTTCCTAGAATAGATGAATATTTAAATCTATTTTCATTGTGGTCCTATTATCAGCCCAGGAGGTGGCACTATGTTATGTACTTAAAGCATTTATGTTAACAATCATAGGATATGGCCAGTACAGTATATTAGTCAAAATAGTAAAGAAATTACCACATAGAAAAACATGAGGAATTCCTCTCATGTGTTGGGATGTCATTAAAAAAGTGGTCATCCCGGTGCAACACAATTGCAGCATAGAAAATGTGATATATAGAGCAGAATACATCAATATTTTATCCCAAACAGAGTTTGAAATTTCTTGAAAGTCTTGGTAGGTATCTATAGAACAAAGTTTTCCTTAAACAGATGCTCATGCTGCCATTCACTGGCAGCCCAACATTATTTACAAATTGGAGATATTGTTCAATTCTGCTGGGATGCCATCTATATTTTGGCATCAATATGGATTGATTATAAACAAAGATTATAAACAAGGATAAAAGCACTGCAAATCATGTGGAAGCTAATCTCTGGAGTAAGTACTGTAAAAGCAGTCCAGATACCAAGCCTGGTTAGTACTTGGAGAAAAGATCAAGGAATCCCAGGGCTGTAAATTATACTAGTAAGTAAAAATGCTTACTTACAGGTATGGAGCCACATAGGCATTAGCAACATGACTGAAGAGATTCTTTATGTTTACTAACTACATTTTTTAAAAATCTTTCTTAGGAATGTTACCGACATGTCTGCACATTCGTTACTGTGTGAGAGAATTTTTCTGGCTAAGGAGTTAATTAAAAGAGCAGAAGCTCTTTGCAGATCCCAAAAAGATGGCATAGAAGGTGGACCAAAACTCTGCAGTAAATTAAAGGCAGAACTAAAATTCTTGCAGAAGGTAGAAACTGGTAGAGTATGCATCAAAAAGTCTCATCTGCAGAGTACAAATCTCACTCATCTGCAAGCTGTCATTGAATCAGCGGAGAACTTGGAGGATATTGTTGGTGTTCTCCATGTTTTTACTTATAAAGACTCATTTGGTGAAAAACAAAATTTGGTGGTAGATATAGTTGCAAATAATGGACACACTTGGGTGAAAGCAGTTGGTCGGAAAGCTGAAGCTCTGCATAACATTTGGTTGGGTAGGGGCCAGTATAGTGACAAGAGCATTACTGAACAAGCAGAAGATTTCCTACAAGCAAGTTGTCAACAACCAGTACAATATTGCAGCCCGCACATTATTTTTGCTTTCTACAATGGTTTGCCCAGCCCGATAGCAGAAAGGCTAAAAGAGATGGGTATATCTGTGCGAGGGGATATTGTTGCTGTGAACCCATCAATGAAGTGTCTTAAAGAAGATCACTGCTTAGGTTCTAGTGAATCTGACGATGGAGATGAATGCTTTCAAGTGACTAAAGTAGATCGGGATACCTTAATAGCCAGTGTTGCATTTCCTACACTGTTGAAAGTAAATACATGCAATAGGGTTAATTTAGACATTACTTCTCTGATTACATATATTTCAGCCCTAAACTATGGAGGCTGTTACTTTATATTCAAAGAGAAAGTCTTAACTGAACAGGCCTTACAAGAGCGATGTGAGAGTGTTCTCCCACAACTGGAGGAATTCATGAAGGGCAAAGAATTGTTTGCTTGTGAATCTGCAATCAAGGATTTTCAGATTATTTTAGAAACTATAGGAGGTCCTGGAGAAAAATATAGAGCCACATTACTTATGGATAGAATCCATGTGATCCCAGATCAACCCTCTGAACGTGCCTTAAGATTAGTGCCTAGCTCTAAAATCAATAGCCGTTCTCTGATCATCTTTGGGACAGGAGATACTTTAAAGGCCATCACTATGACGGCAAACAGTGGCTTTGTTCGGGCAGCAGCAAATCAGGGAGAAAAGTTTAGTGTGTTTATTCATCAACCAAGGGCATTGACAGAAATCAAAGAAGCTTCTGCCATACCTTTAACAAAGCACTAAACTGGTTCCAAATACTTTATTTATACTATTTCTACCTGAAGAAATTTTAGAAATAAAATAGCCAAATGCATATAAATATTGACATAATGTGGACACAATTTATTCATTTCACTGAACCGAACTGAAAGAAACATAGGGCAGACATATTATGTTGTCCTTCACCTACTCATTTACAAATGTTTGTATAAATGTTATACAACTTTTTTTCTATGTTGCCAGAATGCTTCGACTTATGACAATGGAGCCCAAAATTTCTGTTGCTAACCAAGACAGTTCAGTGAATTTTGCCCTATTTTATGACCTTTCTTGCCACAGTTGCTAATTGAGTCATTGCAGTTAAGCTAGCAACACATTAAATAGATCTAACTTCCCCATTGACTTTGCTTGTTGGAGGTCACAGAAGATGATCACATGACTCCAGGACATTGCAACAGTCATAAATACATGCTAGTAGCTAAACATCTGTATTTTGATGATGTGGCCTTGGGGATACTGCAACAGTTGAAAAATGGTCATAAGTCATTTTTTTCAGTGCCGTTGTAACTTTGGTCACTAAATACATGGTTATAAGTCAAGGACTACCTGTATCAAGATTAAAAAGTTACTTTTGACTAGCTAACTTTAAGACTTTGAGGTTTAGCTTCTATTTAGCTGGAAGAATGAAGATTGGAACTCTATGTATAGATGACATGTAGCTAACTACACTTTGTTCAATAAGTGGACAAAACTTTAGTTCATTTGATAAAAAGGAGAGTGTGATCACTGTTAAGGTGACTTGTGAAATTGTAGTAAATGGGCAGAGGATTATGCCAACTGTATAATCTTTTTCTTAAATGAAATACTTTAAAACATCTTACGTGATGTTAGTAGCACGTGCTGCTGTTTTCAAAAAATAGTTTGACATTTATGTACCTAAAGCACTGTTGTACCATGTCACAAAGTAGCTAGTTTCTCCAAGTATTGAGCAATTTCACACAAAGGTTACAAACATGAATATTATTTGCTATGAAATGTTAGTAATGTAGTTATCATTGACAAAAACAATTGTAGGACTGGAAATTATTATTAAGTTCAGCTGTAAGTGATTAATTTGGGTAAGAATGGGGATAGGAGAGATTTTTACATGCTTTTTTAACTGTTGAAAATCTTTATTATGCCAGTTTGAAGATTTTGCAAATCATGATTGTCATGAAAACATTTATTGTTTGCAAACAGGAGAGAAAACAACAAATGCACTTTAAACAGGGCAGTTTGCATACCTTTTGATACCGTGGACCACGGTATCATGCTGCGGCGTTTGGGTGAGTTGGGAGTGGGAGGCACTGTTATGCGGTGGTTCTCCTCCTTCCTCACCGACCGTACGCAGTCTGTATTGGCAGGGGGACAGAGGTCGACCCCAAGGCCCCTAACCTGTGGGGTGCCACAAGGGTCGGTCCTCTCTCCCCTTTTGTTCAATAT